TGTCTGCCAGTCCCGACAATGGCAGTATAGACGCTTCATCAATGGTACGAATCGAATATTATTTGCGATTACGTTATCGAAAAGATTTCACTAACGAATGAGAAATTTCCAGTTGCATGATTGCTGAAATGTTACGAGTTCGATCACAAATTCGAAATAATTGAGCAGTTTAAAACAAAAGTGGTGTGCAAGAGAGAGTCAATTTTCTGTTAGGTTGATTTAACGTTATTAAATCATATTTAATTCAATACTTTATTCCATTCCTCTTTATTAATTTAAGTTGAAGCTTGGAAGTGGATTACAGGAGTACAATTTTTTATATTATTGCATTTTACATAATATTCAATTCATTCTTCATTATCCACGAATCATTTTCCCCACTTTATACAGCGTTTCTGCTTTGAACGGTTCAATTAATGGAACGAATAAATGAATCTGGAAGCTCGGGCTTGTTAATCGATTAGTTCCAACAATTTTTCGCAGAATGATCACAAATTCTCCGACTAATTGATCAAGTGATAATTAGTAGGTCAATAATAGATTAGTAATGATTAGTAAGAAATTCATGAATCGATGTGTTCCCTCAATTTTGAATAGGATGATCATAAATTCTTCAATTCAATTGCAAGATGCAGGAAGCAAATAGCTTTCTCTCTTAATGATTTTAATGAGCTGAAAATAATGCATTAATGGTGCTAATAATACGTAAAATCTGAAGTCAGTTTATACAATCGTGTGCACAATTACAGAGTCGAAATAACTTTTTGCATCGTTACTGTTATATCTGATATTTCTATTTTCTATTATTTCCGATATATAGAAATATATTTCTTAAATTTTTGTTTAAATATCAGTAAAAATCGTAGAAGATACTTCGAGTCTATAATTATTCGCACCGCTGTAATAATAGACGCACTTGTGAAACGACGAGCTCCTAAAATTTTAAATGACAGCGACAGCTCGATAGATCGATGGTTAATTTCGAATAGGGGATTTGTTGGGAAACTACGTCTTACGAGTTGTAATACTTTGGTAAACTCCAGGGATAGGATTCGCCGGACGAAACGGCTATAGCCTGATCCCGTTGGGGCGGCTATTGGATTATTCGGTAACGTGATTAGCGCTTCGCAATATTTTATAAAATTTCCGGAAGCACTGTCGACGCTTTTAATCCGCCGGTTTCTGCGGTGTCCACTGGCTCGCGAAAAGCTTTCTCCTTCTTCCTCCCTCCCTCCTTGTCCTGTTGTCCCCCTCCGCGTCTGTTTGCAATCTTATTAATAGCGTATCTGTGTCGGGCAAGTGCAAGTGCACCCAGGATCGCGGGACCGTTCGGCTGGAAATGCATTATGCGTTGCTTTCTTGCATATCGTGTTCGATGCGTCGCATCGCTCCACGACTTGCCTTTCCTCGACTCGCTCGACAGTTGCCCCAACACATTCGTTCGAGACGGAAATTATACCTCCATCAATTCTCCACTAATTCATGAAGTACAAGACAGTGCTCGAGGTATAAAAAAGGTTGATTGTGTAGCGGACAGAGCACTGACACTGGCTCCTCAGATTATTTATGCTTCCACGTGCTATAAAACCCAGAGGTTCGACTGACCATAACAAAGTTCGGAGTCACACTGTTCAGCAGGAAGTTCTTCTGTTTCGTGTCGAATTGAAAGTCTCAGGAATTCATTCTTTGCTCTAATCGTGCTAGATTCGACGTGAAGATACCAAACCGAATTTTTATGAATTCCTTTCAAAATAACATTCTATTTCTTCCTTATCAATATTAGATTAGTCGATACAACGTTGATATACGATAGATAGAATTTTCCAAGGGATTAACAGTAGTGCGGTAAAAACGAGCAGATTTAAACTTTTTAATACAGAGTGGTCCACCAAGATCTGCCACCTAAATTACTCGAAAACCGTTTCGTCGATATAATTAATTCTTTTTTATCGAGATCTCAAGGTAACTTTGAGTTTTTTAATCATAATCTGTAAAATTTAACTCTGCTATTGAAAAAAGTATGTAAAACTAAGACTATAAGACAGTATATGGGTCCAAAAGAATCTCGATAAGACAGCAATATAGAAAAGAATTCATCAGGGTTGAAACATTTTTCTACAGAAGAAATGGTTTCCGAGTAATTTAGGTGGACCACCCTGTATATATTACAATGATCGAGATTGTAAAGTCGCTTCTGCGAGCAAATACTGGATCTGTTTGTTATAAAAATTGTACAATAAACGTGGTTTTGTTATCTTTGAAAAGCACACATAATAGTTACATTTGTTCTAATTAGAAAATTCAGTTTTTAAAATCTGAAGTGAGACATTTTTTTGTCGGGATTACGGGAGACGTTTTCTTAGAGTAGAACGTTTTCCCACGCCTCTCGCAGATGACCCGAGGTTGTTGTCTCCGGAAAGGAGAAACGCCGATCTCTTGGCGATCTCGCCTGGATTTTCCGACACGCGGCTGCATCGCAAAAAACGAGGGAAACGCTGCAAGAACGCGGCACTCGCGTCCATCGGAAGTGCATCTTGAGGCTCGAAGCTGCGTTCACGCGACATAAATAATCGTTTTATTTATCGTGCGCCCAATCGGATTTTCCACGCGATAGCAAGGCGGTTCGCGAGAACCTCCTGCGATGGTGCAGCGTTTCTCAGAAAAGTCGGTAAAACTCGAGCGATGCTTTCGTTTTCGATCTGCTGGCATTTTCTTTGTTTGTCCGCGTCGGCGTTGTACTCCAAATTTCAGATGATTTTTCGTTTATTTTTCTGTAATGAAGTACAGCAACCGTGGCAAAGGAAGCTTTTGTAGCTGTCTGTTTACAGGGAGAATGGAAAAACACGCTAGCGGAAGAAACGTTAATTTTAAGCTCATAATGGACGTTGTCTGCGAAGACCAAAGTAGAAATATTGATTAGAAAATGTTTGATTGGGATGACGACGTCTTGTTTCTTAGATGTCGCAATTTCTTACATTTTTATCAACGCCATGTACGCAATTTACATTGCCAAACTGTGGCTTTTGTGCATTCTCGACGGAAATGAGATAATGTAATGCGGCACAATAGACAGATTACACGAATTCAACTTTTTAAGAAAGATAACATTTTACTTTTAGGGAAAACGAAGAATTTTCTGTATGTCTATAGTTTCGTGCAATTGATGTGGACAATTTTTAATTATGCATAAAAATCCACAGTCTAAGCATTACATTGAACCTCTTATTTTACATTACATTAACCCTCTTTTCCTTAATTCTCACAGCTACATTCACGTTTTCTTAATAACTCCTATAATTTCGTTCATACTTCTTCTGTTCCATTGTATAATATTTCATTTTATTTTATATTATTCGCTGCGTTACTATTCAGCGAACACGACAAGAAACTTTTGTTGCCACATTCGTTATTCAATACGAATTTTTTGAAGCTCATAGATCTTGCCTTTTTGCTGATTTACGAAGTAAGTCGTTTCTATCATCTCTGACAAGTCTTGGCGATCCTGAAAATTTTTTAGCAGCCAATCTCTATTGCGACCTCTGCTCTCCTTCGGTCTTCGTTGGCCACCACCTTGCGACTCCCTCGAACCACCCTAATTCTCTTGGCCGTGTTCTTCCACCCTTGTCAAACTTGGCCATTTTTACTGATCTCTGGCATTGTTGGCCGCCTCGGCCACTTTTTCCGGCCTTCCTAACCGCTCCAATTTCCTCGGCGAATAAGTTCCTTCCTTCAGTCACGTTTCGCCGGCCACCCTGACGTTCTCGATCATCCTCGGCCAGTTTGTGCGTTCCTAGTTGGATCCTAGAACTGGAGCACTCCACGATCTCAGATCAGCCAGCTGGATCCAGTTGACCGGCTAGTCAAGGGGTTGTCTCAATCCAGAAGTTTCAAACGGTCCATTCCGTCGCGGCTTCTTGAAGCAGAGGCTTTGGAGAGTGTGTACCTAGAACGATGCTCTGGGATCTCAAGGACCAACCAAGTTCTAGCGATACTTTTTAATATCGGCAAACTCTTGAGCGTGCGGATGAACAATCCAAATTTTTATTGGTTCTCTGACTTTTCAAAGGGGACAGTTTAAGTATTCCAGTGATTCGAATCCGAAACAGAAGAGCTGGTTATGTATGATATTAGTAGTTATACATTAGTGCATTAGTAATTATAGTATAGCTATATGATATTAGTAGTTTAAAAAGAAATCCTTTGCGTCTTCTGGATTCGCGTATGGATGACTCCGCGAAAATATCAGTGATAAAAATCAATTCAGCACAGTTTTTTGAGAAATGTATCATAATTATATCGTTAACAAAATTTAAGCTATTTATGTTATTGATAAAGTATATCATAGTTGCACCATTGAAAAAATGTATCATAATTACACTTTAATCTTTGATTTCCAAAAATTAATATTTATGCTAGTCCATTATAATTTCTTATTTTCATTAAGATTCGCAACAGGTAAGAATGTTGAAAAAGTAATTGATGTCATATTAGATCATTTAACATAAAATGCATAGACTTTGCAGTAAGATTATAAAGTATACATTTCATACTTAATGACTTAACATAATTTTGCTTTGAAGTTCCAATATAATTGAGCAAAATTCTTGAATTTTATGAAACTCTTGAGATTTTTGGCGCGGCTGTCAAAGTGCTAAAACGAGGCTTGCGAGTCTCGAAAATCGAAGAAGTTTAAGCGACATTCTGGTCTTCCCAAAAATGACAGTTTAGGCCCTAAACGATTTTTTGGAAGTAGTAGACCCTAGTTGGGAGGCACAATAGCTTCTTTCACATTGTTCCTCAACTTCGAAACAAAAATGAACAACTTGGGAAGAGGTAAGATAAAACGAGCCGTAAGGCTTAAAGGCGTAAAGGCTCTCCCCAAATCGTGCACTTTCGTTCCCAAGCTGAGGGACAATGTAAGAGAAATTACTGTAGATCCTCGATCTCAAGTGCCCCGAATCGCATCGCGGAGCTAATTCGTTCGCGTGTTCTGCTCACAGATGTGCCAGCATGTCCGAAGCCGGGGCGCAGGAAGCAGCGAGCGGGGAGATAGACCGGCAGGCGTCGGTTTACGTGTTCCCGGGACCGGGTCGTCCACAATTTGCGAGCAACTCGCAGGCCGCGAGCATTGGGCCCGTCCCCGACGGCACGGCGGTCCCCGGAATCGTCGGGACAACCATCGGTGCGTTCGCGAGAGGCGACGAGGAGGACGCGGCCTCGAAGATCAGGAGACGACCTCGTCCGATGACCCACGCAAGGTCTGCCAGCCATGGCGGAATGCTTGCGGAGAGCCTGACAGGCTCAGGGCTCCAGGGGAACGCGGGATCCTATTTAGGACCTCTGTCCGCTGTCGGTGCCACGAGACCCTCGGCCCTCAAGAAGCCAGGACACCAAAGGGCCTTCAGTCAAGGTCAGGTGGTCGACGTTCAAGGACACGCGGTCACCGGGCACAGCAGGGTAGGATCCAGGACGGATTTCATCCTCCCGCCTGGCCACAGGGAAGAGCCAAGGCCACCTACGGCTGGAAAGACACCCTCTTGTCGAGGTCACTCGCGGCAAGCGTCCAGGTAAGACCTTTTTTTATTGTCGTCGGGTTCACGGCTTGCTAGCCTTTCGAACTGCTTGTTTATTTTCACGTCAATTTCATCTATAGATAGCTTACCTACACTCTTGCGCTTGCGAACTTGTACAATTAAACAATTATGAAACCTTGCACACGAGTAGAGTAAATTATGCTTAATGTAACTCTATTTTCGTTTGGTGCTGATACGTGGTTTGAGAACAGCCGTTGAAAATATTATAGTACAATAGTTTTCGTGAAACGTTTCAAGAGCGACGAATGATATTTAAAAAGAAGTTGCGACAAAGATCTTGTCGTTTCATTGTGTCTGCAATATTTTATTAATTTCTTCTTTTGACCTCATGCTTTTATTAATTTGTCTCTACTCTTATTTCATTTATTTTATATTATTTCCACTCTTTCTCCATGCTCTTTGTTTCTAAAATAAATGCAGTTTCATAGCATGGTGAACACACGGATTGATCCCTTGCGCTGCAATATCGTGTCAGATTCTGGTTGTACATAGATTTGAAAGCAAGTGGTAGACGAGTGTTTTGAACCTTGTCCACAGATCAGAGTCGATATACACGATAAGACGTAGCGCGGAGCCACCTTGGTGGAGAAAACTTTGGTCGCGATGCTGTGGCCCCTTGCCAGAGGAACCTCGTCTCAGGACCATAGTGCCGAACCACTTGGTACCTCCCAAGACCCCACGGAGTCAGCACCCCAATGGGAAACGGGTGGATAATAGGTAAAAAAAGAACGATCATTAATGACGAAAAGACTTCGCTTTTCGCCATTTTCTTCCATCCGAATTAAAATGTAATGATTTACGATACGTTGTCAAGGACAACCATATCAGAAGATTAGATGCATCGAACTGTTTTATCACGAAATAATACTCTTTGATGTCACGTTTTGTATTACACGATGATATTATGGAACAGAAATAGATTTCGGAGTTTCTGAAGTGGCCGCGTTGAATCACTAATAAAGCAATTCAGTTCTGAATGGAATTCTGAATTGAGTTCTGAATCGAGTCGTTAATTGAATCCTCAATTGAGTTCTGAATTAAGTCCTCAATTGAGTTCTGAATTGAGTCCTGAATCACGTCGTTAATTGAATCCTCAATTGAGTTCTGAATTAAGTTCTCAATTGAGTTCTGAATAGAATTCTGAATTGAATCCTGAATCGAGAGAGAGAGAGAGAGAGAGAGAGAGAGAGAGAG